TATTACTTTATAATATGGAAGGCGGAGTTCAACAAGCGAACGGATGATATATCCCGGAATATAGTGTCATCACATTTTTCCATCCGTGAATCAATACGTGAATATATATATATATATATATATATATATATATATATATATATATATATATATATATATATATATATATATATATAGTAATTATTTTTATTAGATATCCAGAAAGGAGATAACTAATATATCTATAACATACAGGGGATTATTACGGGATTATTTTATATCTTTATAATAGTTTATTTTGTCACAAAAGTTTAAATACAATAAAAAGTTTGAATAATTAAACAGGGCATCTCTAAGTATCTCCTTGAGGATTCCCTATACTTAATACCAATAATAGGTCCTTAGATATAATTATGAATTTAAAAATTCCAGTGTCAAAAGTTTACAATCCATTTACGTTATCTTCGTATTTCAATGAATTTGATGAAGTTTTGACATGTTTTGGGTTTATTTACTCCAAAAAAGTTAAGTGATTTGGAGCCATTGGATTTTCACCTCTGGAGCCGTAAAAAACACCGGAAATTTAGAATGTAATAATCAATTAAAAAGATAAAAAAAACTTGGAACACAATAAACACAAAATACTCCAGCCACTTTCTTCACACAATTTTCAGCTCCGTGGTTTTATAAAAGAATTCTTTTAAATAACCACGCAACTGAAAATTCAAGAGCTACAAAATCGGACGGTCTGGGTAGCTAAGTCTAAAGTTTCTGAACTCATTCGATGTAAAAAAAACAAAAAACACGTCAAACTTGGTTTTCAAAATTTCATTTTATCAATGCTAACTAGAAAAAACTTTATAGTTTAATTGACTTGTGATAGAAAATACGAAATAAAAAGAAAACCCTTAAATTGTGCATCACACCATACAATAATATACAGGATGTCATAATTGAACGAACGAAGTTCTGTATTTTTGAAAATTATGTAATTGGTTGCGAAATTTTAGACACCTTATAAGCGACAAATCAATTTTCAATACCAATTTCGAAATGACGAATCAATTCTTTCCAATTAGCATACAAACTTATGTTAAATCTTAAAAAAAAAATTGAATCAACCAATATATCTAAAAAACAATTAAGATTAAGTATAGGGAACCTGAAAAAAACCTACAATGAAATTTTCTCAGCAACTCAAAAAAGAAATAATAAAGAGGGTGTGTTATTTAAAATAAAAAAAAGCTTTATGCTGTGAGATACATATGAGATACAACTTTTGCATTTAAAATTTTAGTAGTGTCTTAAAAGTAGTGAATTACCCTGTATATTAATAGATCGTTAGGTATCCTAGATTGTTTTATAACTTTTGCACAACGAAAAAATTCGGCAATTTATGTGTTGAAAGGGCTGTGTAAAATTAAAGTGTCGAAGACTGAACACCCTGTACACAACTAAAAGTACACCTTTCAGATTTAAAATTTCTTCGAATCAGCCGGCGGTATTGAAACAAAGAAGAAAGTAACTTGGCTCGAATAAATATTCTTTAAAACTAACGACTGGCATCCAAAAATACATTTCAAATAAAACTAGCTTGCTGTGTACCGTATTCGAGCAACTCACCTGCAATTACATAACTGTCCATCAACGTGGCGAACTACGGAACAACTGTGCGTGCTGCACAGCGCCATCGGCAGAAAATATAAGATAAATTTCCTCTGGAGACAAACGACCGCCCCTTAACCGAACATTTTAAATCGGACAAACAAGCATAATTTAAAACAAACGGAATTTGCAAACTTGTTGCAGTACAATGAAATGCAATGAGAAGGTGTGATGCCGTTAACTATTTAATACAAAATTAAGGGATCAAAGATAAAATGCCCAAATTCCGGCTTAAGGATCGTCGTCATAGAATTCTTAACGTCTAGTTGGCAAGAATTAACTTCTAGCGCGGTGCCGTCGAAGATGAAATGACTCTTGACGAATGTTAAGAATTGATTCCAAACTACTCACGTGTTTAAGAATTAAGAATTGGACAAGCGTCAGTAAACAAATCCCTTTGATATAAGGTTGAATGGAAAAGAAATGAGGTTTCTTTCTTATTTTTTCAAAACCCGAATCTTGGTTATAGAGCCAAAATATATTTCAGTATCCATTTTTTACTTGCGATTGGGGCAAGCTGTAGATTAAAAATTGAACACAAAAATAAAATAAAAACTATGTCAGACATAAACATAAAATTTCGTTGGGTTTAGTGGTCAAAAAAATTCTTGAGTCTCACCTGCTCATTTCTTCTATCATCAGCTACGAACCAATTTTTTTCTGGACCGAGAAAATGTTGACAGGATGTAACATGGCGTGCCCCTTATTTATGACATTTTTCTGTGGCTCTAGCTGGTATTTACTTTTATTAAAGCAGTAACAACAGCGACCTCCAGTAATATAGTTATGGAAAGAACAGCGTCTGTGTTTTTATTACAACTTACCTAGATTTTATATAATATAATATGCAAAAAGTGTAGTAGACGACATTTGAGTCACGAGTTTATTTGGCAAGAACAGAGCGAGTGCTTAATAAACGAGTGAATTAAAAAGTTTTCCAAACCTGACGTTTATTAAAAAAATTGCTAGAAAGGTGTATAAAGGTAGAGGTTACTTTTCTCATAAAAATATTGGGATTATACGTCAAATAAACGGAAATGTGGATGGAAGAAAATTATTACCAGTTAGGAATAATTAAAATGCCTGTTTTGAATTTTTCTTCCATTTTAACCGTTCCAACAATTTTACACCAGAAAAGACAAACAATCAATACAAATATTTCCTGCTACACCAATGCAACAAATGATTTGCTGGGACCATCGGCGCCGTCCTGGGGCCGTGAGTCCAGAAACCAGGTCCACGATGCTGCAGATCTTAAAGTACTTCTCTAACACCATAAGTACATTTTTATGTGATTCTCAAGTGGCTATGAGAAATGTCTCACCTTATTTGCAAAATAGGGGTAGGGGCCTATAAATGTGTGTTACCCCAAGGTTCACTCGCAACTGGCTGGGACAAGTTGCACAGTGAATCCAGTCAGCTCATAATCGGTTTCATTCCCATCATCAGTTGTAAACCCTACCTATTTAGTTAAAAATTGAATTTTCACTTATCTGTAACTTGCCATTTCTATGACGAAGCTTGAGAAACGTTAAATGAGTGAGACACCTCAAAAACTGAAACTTTACTAAACTAAGAGTTCTATTTACAAATATTTTTGGATTCCTCCTGCGTCGGTTATTAATAATCAATACAATAGGAATCCAGAAGATTTGTTGCCATTCATAAAATCTAGATAAATTTGATTTGGTACACGTCAACTTTTACCTTAGCTGGAGGCTGTAATAAATAAGGGGCGATAACGACGAAAAATATTCTAAAAGATACTCACGGATTAATAAAAAATATCCTTTAGAATGCGGGTTGCAGTGCCCTTCGATAAAATTAAACAAAACAAAACAAACAAACAAAATTTTGCTAATTCGTTTTCGGATTATACTTATCTAATATCGACTGACAAATTATAGTCTCCCCCCAATTTCGATATAAAAATCATGTCACTCAAACCAAACAGCTATTTCTCCTTTTCTATTTTTTGATATTCAATTGTTTGCTCCATCGAGATCCCGCGCAAAACGAGAGTCGCCGAGACTCGCTAAAACCAGTACGGAAATGTGCGAAGTGGCTCGGATCCGTGAGAAACGAAAGTGATGTAAAATGACACTTCCTGCATGCTAGATCGGTGTAGAATTAGGTATTTTACAGAAGGGAGTAGAAAATTACTATATTATGCAACAAGTGTGGTAAACGACTGACTTAAAAACTTTACCAAACATGTTGAATACTATACTTTTTCTACGACCGTCAGTTTTTGTGTACAACTTTGCAAAACAACACGAATATATTCACAGACATGACCGTCAGGATTAACAAACGTCAACGTTCAAGCGGTGCAGTAAAATCTCCGAAAACATCCGATTGCTCTCAAACCCGTGCAGTAATATCCCGGAAATGTCCGAAGTGGCTCAAATCCGTGGGACAAGAAACTCACGTGGTAAAGTGACGCTTTCTGCACTCTATATCTTTGTTTAATTACGTATTTTACAGAAGGGAGTCGAAAAAAGATTATACGACCTCTTTTGCGTAATTTCGGAACGTAATAAATTACTATTTTATTTATATCTTGTTGTGACAAGAGGCTCATTTACCATTAATTAAATTAAAATTATGAAGTGCAGTGGCGTCCCGGAAAACACACCATCGAATAATTTTGTCAAAAAAAATGTGCGCCACTGACTTTTTTACAACAAATTCTAATCGGTTTTTTATTAATATCTTCAATCATCGTTATACAGATTTCTTGGAATATATCAGTTTTATGTGCAGTGATAAGAGGCTAACTTGTCCTCACCTAGAGTAAAATTTGCAAGTCCAGGGACACATAAAGAAAAATTCTTATTCTTTATTTTTTTAATGTATTTATGTTTCATTTTTTAAATGATTCGGACGTTATTTCGGGGCACTCTGTGTACATAGTTTTCAAAATCTAATGAAATATAAAAATGAATCGATGAAAATACCGAAGCGTTAGTCACCGCTACGCAGACGCTAGTTTCCCTCCAAAGGTTGGAAAAATTGTAACTTCTGTATTATTATTTGAAACATATTTGCCTACAATGCAGGTGTTCCCTAATGCGTGGTTTTTTATATTTGGAAAGAAATTACGCACAACGTTTTTTTAACGATCGTCAATCGTTTTGAGAAGCCCTATAAGTTTTTCAATAATTGTTTTAATACAGCCATACAGTTGCCTACGACATGGTAGTCAAAACTTTTATTTTATTCAAAAATTAACATAACAACATGTATATTTTTTATTGTAAAAAGCACTATGAACATTGTTGTGTGTTAAACTATGCAGGGCGTTCTATTTGTAAACCTCTATGTTTAACTAATACATATTTTGCAATACTTACAGCCTGCTTGATGGCTCCAAACTCGCTTCGTCTCCTTCAATGCGATAAACTTTTCCGGACATCACGTATTCAAAACTATCAGCCCGGGAGCCTTCGGTTTCCAACCCCTGAGGATTCCAATCACCGCTGTCCGGATAACCATCTTCCCTTAGTGTGGTAGCGAGAACCAGACGAAACTTGTCACCTGAATAAACAACAAAATTAATCATTGAGCGTATACGGCTACTTGTTCCAAATTTCGACAGACCTTTTCAATATCAGATGTCGATATATACAGGGTAATTAACAAACACATCAAAATAATACGATTAAAATCAACATGCGCAACTTCAAAGTTATTTTATTCTAAATGTTCTCATTAATTGAGTTTGCATAATACAATAATAGAAATTGGCAGTTTTAGATTTTTTGACATGACTAATATGAATTTGAAACTTATTTACAAGTTGCTCTTAGAAGGTGCTACACGTTGATCGTATTCTTTAGATAAATCGAATCATTTTTTTTATCTGTCAGGTTATGTTTTAACCTTCTTAGTATTTTTAACAAAAATCGGAACAAATATATTGACATTTTTAAATGCAAATAACTCAAAAACCAACAGAGTCAGATAACCTAAAAAAGAGTATGTTTTCAATAAAAAATTGAACATTCTTTCAGATTTTCATATTGTTCCAACCATAACTCGACAGAAAAACAACTATGCTTCGGTTTAGTCAAATAATAAGTTGATACTAATGCTCTCTAGGAGTAAGGTCCAAATAAGTTTCAAATTTGTAATCGTCGAGTCAAAAAACCTAAAACTGCCAATTGTTATTATTATACTATTAAAACTTTCTCGATTATTTACAAAATTCAGAACAAAAGTTGAACGCCTTGTATCTGTCAAACTAGCGAAATTTGTATGAAGCCTGCTCAATCATAATATTTTGATGCCAAGCATCCCATCAGTTTAGAATAACCCTGTATAAATAAGAAGAATATAATAGATACTTCGCCATCAACTCCCAAACTTGATTTTAATTTTGTAAGTTTGGTATAGACAGTGGAAGTGACAAGTGTGGAAAGAATGCGTCATGTCATGCTGAAATAATATTTTTTGAAATGTTCTGACATAATGATTCAAATTTATTTTATACCATAAAACTGTAATAAATAACTTTTTTTGAAATTTGTAAAAGTTTTTTACTGGAAAAATGTGCCACCAAATTTCTTTCCTAAAAATTCTTTAGGAAATAAAAGTTATTTGTCATAGAAACGAATTTGTTGAAAAAAAATCCATTATAAATAATATTTTATACACATTTTTCTTAATTCATTCATTAACTAAAATACATTTGGTAAGACGTATGGATCGAAACGTAATTTAAACGTATAAACATTAATACTGCAGATTATTGCTAAAATCGAATGCAATTCAGAGAATATTTGTCAAAGAGGTACGTGATTGAAACTGCGTGAATCATCACGCAAGTTCACAAGCATCAATCAATCAGTTTTAGTAGTATTCGAACTATTTCCAAAGTCCGCTGTAAATATACAAACTATGTTTTTTCACTTGGGTTGCTCACGTTGCTTGCAAAATAACCCGAAGTAAATGCGTTGTGTTAATAATAAGGACAATTTCCGCCAGGAAAGGATTAAATGATAATATAAAAGAAGTTGTCGACAGTCAAGGAGTCATCAGCAACACACAAAATATAATAAAACCACCTAGAAAAACCGCACGTAGAAACAAACTAACCAATATTACTAAAAACAAAATTGTCAAAAAATGTGTGTATCCAAAAAGAGTTATTGAAAATTAAGTAATTAAAGAAGTAATTGTAATACGCCTATAAACCTAATCCTACTTCTTCCTATACGTGTTGCTAAAGGAATTTTGGAAAGAAACTGCTGATATGCTAAATGAAAACGTTAATCGATCACATTTGAAATTAAACAAGCTACATAAAGAATTGTTATTATTTTAAGTTACCTTGAAATACGAAGGGCATCGAGTTTAAGTATTTCTTTCTTGACCTTGTAACTTTATCTAAATAGCCTTTTTCCTGTTTTAATTTCGTGTGGCTTGTGGTCTAATGTTTCGTTAGCGTCTTAAAACTGGCATTACTTTGCCACTACCTAATATCTATAATAAATACGCAATAAGAAAAACATATTCGTATTCATACAATACATTTAAAGACTATATGTCTGTATATAAATTGAAATTGCTTAAAATGAGATATTTCTAATTATAATACACGAAAAAGCAATATTATAGAATAACTTCCTTCTGGTGTAATTGTCATTGAAACGAAAAAAGATTAAAATATATGTTTGTAAACTCTATCAACGACTACAAAATAAGAAAACGTACAGTGACGTCAGTTACATAAAGGTATAGGTATAGTCTGCCAAAAACACACCAACCTACTTTTACACTTTCGGTTTAAAAAACTAGTTTAAAAAAGGGTCTTCGTTCAAGTTTCCATAGTTTCCATATTTTTCTATAGCCCTTAGCAGTTTATATGTTGACGTGAAACACCTTACTGGGTGTGTAAGGAACCAACACTAGTAAGATGCTACTACTGAGAAGCCAAAACAAAGAAGTCTACACCAGCGTGGCCAATTGAAACGAATATAATTGCCTCTAAAGACCAAAGTCGAGGTGGTCGTCAACAAAAAAATCATGTTTGTCCGACAATTACTTACGAAGGTCACTTCAAAAGTTTCCGACCTCATCCTAAGACCTCAGCTACCAAAAGCTAGTGATCGTAGCTATACATTGCGGTTTTTATTTGTTTTTTAAAGGCAATTCGCCTAAGCAAATTAAAGTTGAGTTGTATTCTGCGTATGGGGATACTGCACCGTCAATTACCAACACTCTCTTAGCGCAGATTATTACCTTCAAAAAAGAAAAACCAATACAAAGGACAGAAATTGCGGAAAAAGGCTGACATTTGCAAAAAAAATCTGTTTCACCAAGAAACCGCACCGTCTCATACCTCAGCGGTTGTCATGGCGAAAATTCACGAATTATGATTTAAACTGCTTGACCATCCGCCTCGTTCAGCAGATCTAGCCCCCAGCGACTTCTTTTAGTTCCCTCATCTGAAAACTGCGCTCGGAGGACAAAGATTTAAGTCAAATGAGGAGGTAATCACCTTCGTGAACAATTATTTTGCGGCGAAAAGCGCTGGGTAGAATCTCTGAGCCTACAAATATTTTGAATATTCGTGTGCTTAACACTTAGTTTAGCTTTAGTTTAAAATCTTACAATTTAAAACTAACCAAAATTAACCAATCTGTCACACGGGCGCTTTAGAAATGAATGTAAAAATCCTTTGCCCCGTTCTTTTCTATAGCTAGCTGATCAAGAAAATATATTCCTAAACAAAACTGTAATATTAAATTTCACTTTGACATTATTTAAACTGTTTCCACTTCATTTGTCTTTAGTTTTGACTGTATACATCGAGAATACGTTTTTTTATAATCTTCTTAAAAAATGCATTATAGGAAACCACTTAAAACACACATACACCAACTAACTATAGACGCTTCGTTCACGATATCGTTCATTTAAAATTAAATGTAACAAATTTGACACAACCGTATTAAAAGGGACGTTTTCCGGATTGTTTAACAAAAAGCGTCCCTATACAGCGACCGTGGCAACAACGAGTAGACCGATATAGCTAAACTTCGCCTACGACCTTTTAAAGGGCGGCGGCTTACTACAGCTGACCGAAAAATCGAAGGCGGCGCGCCGCCGCCCTATGAGGATACCGACCTGCCGCAACGGGGGCTCCTTTGCACTGGATACATAAGTGTATGTGCCAGAGAACCAAATGCATGGGGATACCTCGTTCCTCATGAATTTGAGCGCCCTTGGTTTAAAAAAAAACGCACTTGACTTTTTAACTACTTGTAATCTGCCAACAAAGTTCGCATCCTAAAAGTGTACGCCATCGTAGGTCACAACCATTCTCCCTTTCTATACAAATTGAAAATGCTGCACAAGTATGCGTTGGTTTCCACATCCATTGATCAATACAGATGCAATGCAATGCAACATGTTTTCTTTTTTTGAAGCAACTCCCTGGTCAAACGTATACTGAAACAGTTGCATTTTTAAACTAGCGGGTTTAATTGCTAGTAGGTTTATTTCTTTGACATTAAAATAGAATACTATACAACAAGTTCGGTAAAAAGCATTCGAGTCGCGAGCGACTTAAATTTTTTATAATTATTAGTTTTTTAGTACATTTTTGCAAAAGAATACGAATACATTCACCGAGTGACGTGTGACATGACCGTCAGAATTGTAAAACGTCAATATTCAAGCGGTGCGTAATATCTCCAGAAACATACGATTGCTCCCAAACTAATGGGTGATATCCGGGAAGTAGTTCGCAGCCGGAAGTAGGCACGGAACTAATGTCTTAAAATGACACTTTCCGCAAGCTGTATAATTGGCTGTTTTAGAGAAAAGAGTTGAAGAAAACGTTAAAGAGGAGGAAATGTGTTCAAAGTCTGTTGAAAAAACTGGTGCAAACGTTTTCTAATTTAAATTTTCCTTTTTGTATCGTGCAATGCTGATCACAACTGCTAGCCTCGATGAAATGTTTGAGGTTACTATAGTTTTTAAGTGACTTAGGGACAGGTTTGAAAATTAGTTTTTGTTTTGTTGAACTCGGAAATGATATATATTGGGACAGGTTTGAAAATTAGTTTTTGTTTTGTTGAACTCGGAAATGATATATATTGAACTTCTATTGACTTTATTATATAATTCCGCAAGGTTTCACATGTATTTACCTGACGATGACCGGAGATACTTGCCCAGTTGGAATGCTTTGAAAGTAAACAATAAATACAATGGACATTTAACGTTGTTATTGTTGGCACAACCTGCGTTGTTCAAGTTATTTCATTCATTTTGGAGGTTGCAATGCCCACACAACACAGCAAACAGTGTTGAATTTCTTAGATCTAACCACATGCAATGGCTTGTATGAAGTCTGTATAAAAATCCTATCGAACATTCACATATTCTCGAAAGCTTGCATAGAAATGTCGATAAGTTGGCGAAAGAATATTAAAATTTTAAGACAATTAATTACCCGTGTGCCGGCCTAGACCTCTACTCTTTCAGTTATTTAAAAAATTTAAAATTTTAAAAAATTAAACAAAAAA